TACCTGGGCAGCCTGTGGGTCCATCATTTTGGAGTTGAATTAGCAGAGGGGGGGTAAGGTCCTGACCTCCTTACATTCTTCATTTTCCATGTGATGAAGGCTGGTCAGGTGGAGAGGACCTCCCCGCCTAATGGATGAGGGGAGGGAGCTGCTGTTCCAGAGGAGTGATGGAGAACATGCAGGTAGGTATTTAATGCTCAGGAAGATGGTTATGGGTGTGTTGGTCCTGGTTCCTGTTAGAGTTAGGGGGGTTAGGTCACTTATCTCGAGGGTTCCCCCCTTAGTGGTCTGCACTTCGATTTGGTGTGGGGAACCAACGGCAAGGCACATGTCACCTTTGACATTCCACCCCCCCCCCCCGCTGTGGACTAGAACTGTATCCGAACTGTTACCGACCTTCTGTGTGTCTGCAGCTGTTCTGGGGCTGAGCGGCGCTGTGGAGTTCGGGCAGCTGTGTGAAGGGAACCCCGACAACAGGAGGAGACGGACATCCACGGGCAGGGACACTATGGAGCCAGCCGGTAAGAGTCCAACAGATCAGCACAAGTCTGACCTTCACCTTAGTCCAACCTTGACATTACTTTTTTTTTTTAATCTGACCTTGACTTGTGAGTGACCTTGACTTTTTGGATCTAACCTTGAAATTACCTTGGCATGACATTGTTCTGACCTTGGCATTACATTCATCTTCATCTGACCTTCCCCAGAGCCTGACCTTGGCCTGACCTTCACCTTCACCTGACCTTGGCCCGCTGCTTTCAGGGACGGCGGGTCCACAGAGGGCTGGACATCGTGTGCCGACGGCTGGAAATCTACGCCCTGTCTGACTCCACGCTGCACGGGAAGATGCTCGTCTACAGCCACCCCCAGAAGGCCGCCGTCGACACGGGAGCCAGCCTGAGAGGAGAGGGGGGGTCCAGGCCCTGACGCCAGGTTCTGGTCCAGTTCTGGCTCTGTTCTGGCTTGGTTCTAGCCCGGTTCTGTCCCAGTTCTGGCTTGGATCCAGCCCGGTTCTGGCTCGGTTCTAGCCTGGTTCTGGCTCGGCTCTAGCCCGGTTCTGGCTCGGTTCTAGCCTGGTTCTGTCCCAGTTCTGGCTCGGTTCTGTCCCAGTTCTGGCTCGGTTCTAGGCTGGTTCTGGTTCGGTTCTAGCCTGGTTCTGACTCTGTTCTAGCCTGTTTTTTTTTCCAGTCCTGGCTCGGTTCCAGCCTGGTTCTGGCCCTCCACGGTTCTGACCCTCAGCCTGTGCCTCTCCCTGCAGGTCTGTGCTTCAGGCTGTTTTACGTGAGTCTGGACCGGAGCTCCGGGCCGGTGGGGGGGGGCAGCGGGTCGGGACCATGCTGCCCATGCTGTACCGGGAATCACCTCCCACCTGCAGATGAGCCACAAGAGAGACCCCACAGGCTACTTCTGAGGGCC